GGTAAGAGGGGGTGATAGGGGAGGTAGAAGGAGGAATAACAATATGATATGGTGATATGGCTGTTCCAGGTGTTGAAGGTGTTTCTGTCACTAAAGATAAATGACATGGATGTACTGTCGTTAAGAGAAAGCAAAGAAGAAACCAAAAATGACAAAATGAAAGGAAAAAATAAGAGGGATAAAATCATGAAGGCAAAGATGTCCAAGAAGGAAAGAAAGGTGAAYCATATTGTTTTTATTAAGAAAGAAATTAATTGTTTGTTTAAAAGACCCTTTTACTCAAGGTTGCGTGTGCATCAAACTTGACAGGCCACAAAACTGAAAACTGCAAATTCAGGAAAAATTGAGAAGACAGTTTTATATTTAAAAATGAGAGTAATCGATTTTATGAATTCTTATTGAAAAACATTTCATAGCAATGCATGATAATACTTCTGTTCTGGTATCGTGGCCCATCAAGTTCCTTGAATTTGGATGCGCACGCAGACTAAGAAAACGGTCTAGTATTGGTGCAATATATTGCATTTAACAATAATTAGTAATGGTAATTGTTTTTTAGAGGCAAAAAGAAATGAAAAAGCTGGAAAAAGAACTCCAGGCTACACAAGCTGTTGAAGGACAGGAGAAAAGAGCAAAACTGGTAACTATTGATTAAAATATATTGAGTATTTAGTTTCATACAATGTGATTGGTTGAGCAATCATTGATTCTGAGATGATAATCACTGCTCAAGCAGTGATTATGAGGTTTTCTCGCAGAGTTCTCCAGAGTGGAAGTAAAACGTTTTTTTATCCTGAATTTTGTCTTTTCTGGGATATTCAAGTATAAAATTATGCTAAAACAATTATTCACCTCAGGCAAAGTGAATATGGGAAATATTTACTTCATTACTTGAAAACTTGTGGCTTGGTAAATATTCCCCAATATTCACTTCACTTTCACTAAATAATCATGTTGATGGGCTACCTGTGCCATCAAAACAACAGGTAACCCATAAAGACTTGAGGATTTTTCTCCTTCTAGCAAACTGAGATACTCAAGCTCGTGTTTGCAACATATTTCCGAGTGCTGAAGAACAGAGCGCAGTCATCTCTACTGTCCCCCGTTCTTGAAGGGCTGGCCAAGCATGCTCATCTCATTAAYGTGGATTTCTTTGCTGATCTAATGACAGCATTACAGGGACTTATCAATAAAGAGGTATGATGTTATAGTAGGGGGTGACAGTTGATCACAAGTAAACAGATGGATCTGATGGTTAGGTTTGGTGTTGTGATAGGGTTGTCAGTCAATACATCAGGGCACGAAACTAATGCTCGCAAACTCGCAAAATGCGGGTGAAATTTTGTATTTAGTGAGTGACAAAAAATTTAAATAGCTAAGTTTTGCGATTATGACCACAGTCCAGAAATTGAAGGACTGAAATGTTTACACCCTGCATCAAGTAAAGCTTGTTATTCACTGCATCCGATCACAAGTGATTTTGAAATTTTTGCTGAGATCATTAGTTATTAGGCAGGGTTTGCTAGTGGGTTTAAAAGTGTTGGTGGTTGTCAGTAGGGTGTAGGTGGGTTGTCAGTAAGGTGTTGGTGGGTGGTCAGTAGGGTGTTGGTGGTTGTCAGTAGAGTGTTGGTGGGTTGTCAGTAGGATGTTGGTGGGTGGTCAGTAGGGAGTTGGTGGGTTGTCAGTAG